AAGTCGGCGCGACGGTGAATCGAGACAACGACGACACACTCGAGATAGTTGTAGCTGCGCGAGAAAGCGACGCCCGACATGCATTCGGCGTTGATCGAAAATACAAACGCGCGTACAACAACATCTGATATCTCCAACGTTTCTTATTGAGGAGTGATTTCAGCTCGTTTTGGAGTGGGGTTGCCGGGATGAGAAACCCCACAGAAAAGGCGCATACCAAACTTGAAATCAAATAAGTAGATAAAAGAACGCGTCTAGCAGTGATTTTGCGTTTGGGCACTCTGAAATCTTGCCTCCCCCCCCCCCCCCCTCGGTTATTGCCCGACACGGGACGTCAGCTCAGAGATATCACGCGCCTCTTGTGCTGTCACGTAATCAAGGTCATGCGTGTAATCCTAAATCGTGCGTAAAAAGAAGAAAAAAAAAAGTATTGAAACATGTTTTTGTTAAGTTTAAAATATTGCGACCTCATCCTGTACTCGATACTTTCCCTCCCTGACAATGTCTAAGCACGCACATTTTTACTATTAGGATCTTACATGTGCACCTAAACCACGCTTCAATCATCGCGAACGATTTAAGCCGCAGTAAAACTGCTTATATACATCGTACAAAAATCAGTCTTTAAACATGTTCGAAGAATACATATGATATGAGGCAAACATGCTTAGAAATGTCATGATGTCTCTAACAAACATAGCATTTTTTTATTTTTTTTTTTAATGATGTAGGAGCAATGTGAGTTGCTGCTCTAAGGAGAAGTAAACTTTTGCTGGCAGCTGACTTCGCTTTTGCTGACTTTTGCACTGATCGACAGCTTTTGCCGACTTTTGCACTCATCGAGTCCATTTGAAACGGCGACCCAATTTGCGAAAGGAGCTCGCAACGGCTGCCCCCTGGTTTCGGAAGCGCGTGCCTGGTGGGGGCGTGCACCGGGCCATGACGGAGCTCGTGACATTCACTTCACACGGGGGGAGGGGCGGATCGCTCCAGTTGTGGAAACAGAAAAG